AATTATTAAATGATAAAAAATTTGAGTTTACTTTCACCCAATGATTGCAATGTAGATGTAGACTTTTCAGTCTTTTCCAAATACATACGGCGGCAAAAAAGTAAATAGGGAAGAGATATTTTAGCAAGTTTTGGCAATTTTTCTTTGTTTAAAAAAGGTTTTTTTTTTCAATGAAAAGTTGTACATAGAACATTTATAAAACTTCGACGATTTTTAAAAAATGTTCAACAAAATTTTAAACCTTTCAATCAATTTTTTTTTTAGTACGCAATTTTGTAATAGCCAAAGAATGCTAAAATAACTCTTCCCTTTTTATGGCTTTGCCACGGTACATATGTATATATGTAAATATTCTTTTTAATCAGATGACTTAATAAAAGTTACCCAATAGCTGCAAATGTTAGACGACTATTAAATTCTTACGTCTTTCCATAATAATATAAATTATTTACAAAATCCTAATCATAATTTTAATTTTGTCAAATTTTTTACGCTTTTCATAATTGCAAAATTAGCAAAATTATATTTTCAGTACTTTTCTTCTCCCCTAAAAATGCTACTGCAACTCAATTTTTGCACATTATTATTTTTTTTTTGTTGCTTAATCCTCCCTTCTTTTTAGTGTAATATTCTTTTTTTTTTAATATAATTTAATTTCCCACGCGCGTACTTTCTCGATAAATTGCATTATTGAAACCTTTGAAATTGTCATAATATTTCGCAATTTGGGAGAATTTCAATTTCTTTCGTTAAATGTTTCATATTCTACATCAAATAGTAAATACACAATATATCCTATACTTGTAAGTATGTATGTATATATATAATATATATATATATATATATATATAGAGTTCATATTTAGTAAAGTAAATTTCGAAAAAATGATTTTTGTTTTATAATACATATATATATTTTTTTTTTGGTTGGGGATTCCTTTTGATTATTAGCATAGACACCGACAAAAACACACATCGAGAGTTGTAATGCTTGATTTAGTTATTTGTTGAGATTCTCATACACCTAATATCGTATGCACGTGTATATTTTGTATTTCCATATTTGTTCTAAATACGAATATTCTATTACATCTAATAAAAATTGTTCGTTGCTGTAGTTGTTGCAGTTTTGTGTACGTATACGAAATACGTTGAGTTTTGAGTTTCCTTTTTAATTTGTATGCTTTTTTATGTAGTAATTTCTTTTGCGACTTTTCATTATTGCAATTTGGAATGTTTAATATGTAAACGGTGAGTTGAAAAAAATGAAATACAGGAAACTTATTTGTAAATATATTTTTTCAACGAAAACGCAACTAAAATTAAACAAAAAATCTACTACGCTTAAGAGAAGGTTTTACAGGAAAAATTATTAAAGGGTAGTTGCCCAAATATTTTGAGAAAAATCATACGGCCTTACTTTATGTTTATTATTTAGATCATTCATACCAGACTTGTTTTTACTAACCCGCTGTGCATAATTTAAAAATTAACGGTTTATTGAAGAGCCTTAAAAAATGTTACACAGTGTATCTAATAATAATTCCACAAATTAAACCAATATCTAAATGACTTCTGTTTTTGTAAGACAAATAAGAAAATAAGCAGGCGCAGAATAAAGGAAAAGCGATTAAAAAATGGTGTGAAGCGAACTTGCAACTGGAGTGTTCCAAAAAAGCCAATCATAAAATTTGGTTTTCAATGGCTCCCACCAAAATATTTCGGTTGCATTTTTAGGTGGAAATATTTGGACAATACATACACCTTGTTTTAAAAACAAGTTGCGAGTTATTTGAAACCGATGTCCACATTTGAAATTAAGAACTAATTGGTTTTACTTTACATACATATGTACATACATAATTTTCTTTCAGTAAATAGACTGCTATATAGATGAGACTCGTCGCGTGAATGTGACACACCTGTAAGCTAATCGTGGTCCAGCACATTGCGGGAATCAGGT